GGCGAGCCCGCTTTCTTCACTCCGGAAATGAGAGAGAAAGTGTGAAACAAATCATGTTCTCTTTTTACGAGGTCTCTACTATGTAAATCAGTAAGATTGTTTCTCATTTTTCTATATGGATATAACTTTATTTTTCCATTTTTATGTTTTATAAGCAATCCACTTTAGATCTTTATTTTTCATTAGGCTATAAAGTTTATGCTAAATATACTACAATATAGGGATCCACCCATATCAAATACTCTTGAATTTTTGAGTACTTAGATCCAGATCTGTTATATTCATGACAAAAATTATATGGATATGGGTATACCTATATTCACTGCTATCCACACCTGACCCGGATCCATAAAAAATGTTTAAATTATTAAAATATTAATTATAAATTATGTTGAATTTGTATAAATAAAAACAGAAAGAGTAATATAGGCCATATGATATTTTCAAAATATCATAAGACATTAAAATATTAATCTTATACATGTATCATAATAAATTATATGTAAAAAGTGAATCCAAGTTAGAATGAGGTATTATAACCTTTAAATATATATACTCTTATCCAATGTTTTAGATACCCTATTTTCTGATAAGACTATATTTAGATTTTCAGATATTTTGTCGAGTCTTACTACGTTGTAGTAATTGTGGCGATAAATCTACCATTCTTGTAATTTACTTAAATAATTTGTTGGAATGTTCCTAGTAAACTATTCAAAACAACTTGTGAAAATAAGTTCAAATAATCAAAGACAGAGAAACAATTACAAACAATATTTTGAGTTGTTGGTTATAGAAAATTCTTTGTTCAGAGTATTTTTGCACGAAACAAAGACCAAAAGAAAATAAAACACCTATGTAAACTATTAATTTCTATATGAAATATTAAATACTTTATTTTGATATTAAGCATAATAAAATATATTAAGCACATTTAAAATTTGTAAACCTTCAAAATCATGGAATTATGATCATGTGAAACAGATTATTAACATATTGATTCTTTTCATGGTAGAATAACCCTATTTTGTATTGCTAGGTATGTTTTCTCTCCTATATTTGTAAATATATTTAATCAGTCAAATTAGTTTTCTCAATATATTATTTTTTATTATTTAATAACTAATTAATTATTTTTAAGTATGCGGTTTTTAGCGTCATAATTTCATTAAAATAATAATATGAACAATGATTTTAATTAAAATGAAAAATCAGTTTATTGTTTTGGATTTTTTTCATTAAAATTATAATCTGAACATTGATCTTCACTGAAGATCTAAAGATTTATAAACTTTTTTTGACAGATTCATATATTACGATACAATTAGATGAATTTGAATATCATCAAGACCTCATTATATCTCCATCAATTAAACATGTGTAGTCCTTATAAATGATAATGTTAAAACTCTAACTCCGTCCACATCTCCTAGCTAGATAAAAAATACAAGTCATGTTTGGAATTCTAGGGTTTATTGCCGCCATGGAAGAAGGTATAATAAAGTAGTCTCTACCCAAAGCAAGTCTCCAAGGATGGAGATTATCCTCCAATTTGATTTCTTAATTGAGATATTCACAAAGATTTCAATTGAAGACGTTGCGAGGTATCGTTGCATGTCGAAGCTTTTGTTTTCCTTACTGCATCGTCGAGAATTTACCCAAATGTTTTTAAAATCATGTCATTGGTTCGGCCGTATAATTTATTCACCTTCCTACACAAAGGTAAGCAGATGTTCTACTCCATACCTCAAGAATTAGATCCACACCGCAACTACTATTCTCCTATATCTCCCTATTACCATATGCATTTCCCTTAAAGTTTGGGTTCTGCGGAAAATATGTGTCCCTCTTCACTTCGTTTGATCTATAACAAATCTAAGAACCAATGATTTGTAAGCCTAGCACAGAGAGTACATATGTTTACCACTAGTGACAACGAAGAGGAATAAGATGAAACCCCATCTCGAGTATGATCACATCGAAAACTCTTCAAGGTATTATCCTTAAACACTTTTTGAATTGGATCATACCCGAGATAGGGTGTAATCTGATTCCTCTTGTTTGTCACTATGGGTAAAGATATGTACTATCTTGTGCTAGGGTTACAGAGCATCGGCTTCTTAAATTTGTCACATATCAAACCATGTAATGAGGGACACTTATCTTCCCAGAACCCAAACCTTTAGGGAAATGCATCTGGTAAGAAGGAGTTATAGGAGAAGAGTAGTTGCAATTTGGATCTAGTTCTTGAGGTATGGAGTAAAAGATCCGTTTACCGTTGTATAGGAAGTTGAATAAAATACGCGACCGAACCGATGATATATTTAGAAACAGTTGGGTGAATTCTCAACAACGCAGTATGAACGACTAAAGATTTGACACGCAACGAGACCTCAACGGTCTTACGATGACAATCTTGAGAATGTCTCAATTAATAGATCAAATGGGAGGATGATCTCCGTCATGTTTTCTCTTGGGGATTTGCTTGGGTTGGAGACCACTTTCTTTTTTCTTTTTTCCATGGTGGCGATAAAACCTAGAATCCCAACCATGAATTGTATTTTAATCTAGCAGATGTGGACAGAGTGAGAGTTTTAACATTTTCTCTTTATAAGAACCATACATGTCTAATTGATGTACATATAACAAGGTCTTGATGATATTCAAATTCATCTAAACTTATCGTAATATATGAATCTGTCAAAAAGGTAAAATTAAAAATCTTTAAATTGTTAGTGAAGTGTTCAGATTATTATTTTAATAAAAAATTTAGTGTACTTTTTGAATTAATTCTGATGATTTATTTATAAATGGAAATTCAAATTGGATGTTATTTTATTTTTAGACAATCCCCTATATGATAAAAGAGAAGTACACTTTTGATATCTCTAAAAATTGACTAAAATTTCCAAATTTGCCATTCAATTAGTTGTGAAGGATAGCTTTTATTGAAATTAGAATGGGTAATTTTTTGAATTTTTACAAATTAAAATCAATTATCCGACCCGTTTGCTAAAGATCCGCGTGTCTGCCCGTGTCTTAAAAGGAGTGTGACAGATCGAGTTCGATTCTCGTGGAAAACAAGGCATGTTCGATTTTTTTTACGGGCTTTTACTCTTCATCTCTGATAAATTATAGTAAATGGGCCCAGATTTTTAAATGGATCCAGCTTAACATATCATGTTTTATTATGCATTAATTATTAATTATAAGAAATCAAAACACCTATTTAATAATAATAACAATGACCTAATATAATTTTCCTCTTCTCTAAAACGCCGTCTCCCAACATTGGACAAGAAGAAAAAGAAGAAGAAGAAGAAAGATGTCTTCGATGATCAATCTAGTGACTTTGGTACCAAGGATTTGGATTTCAAGGAAGAGAAGCTAGGAGTTGCAGATTACAAATCCCTCTGATATGAGTTTGATGCTTGCGTTGCGGGTGAGAAAATGGGTTCTGGAGATGCGAGGACATTGAGTTACTCATGAAGTAGGAGATTTGCTGATTTGGTTTGGAGAAAGGTAAAACATGTTCGAAACCTTCCTCTGTGACACTAGCTTCTTAAATCTTTTTTATGATAGGATTGGATATACTCATGATTTATTCTTCCATACAAAAAAAAAACATGCTCCAGAGAAGCTTGGGATCTCTGCAATAAGGATTTAACTCAAAAAAATCTTACCTTAAAACTTACTTTCTAGGAAGCCATCTACCTCCTTTGGCCCATTCGATATTCGCGAGAACTTCATCAATGACCTTCATCAGGGGATGCATTAGATTTTATTTTTTATTATTTTTATTGTTAGACTTTGTGTTTTCATTGTATGCATTCTGCTGGATTGCTGGATTTTGACTATCTTTTAAAGCTAAAGGCATGTCCAGAATATTCTCTTTTACTGTCTTTGGATCTTCTCTTTATTTGTAATAATTATTTTTTTATAATGGGTTTATTACGAAACACTTTATTTCAATTATCTTAAAATAAAACTATTTCATGTTTAAAATCAGTATTGGAACTATAGCTTAACCAAGATAGTGGTCAAAACTAAAAATTAACCCAAAATTAAAAAATTGAATACTTGAAAATTGGATATTTAACTGTGTTTGGATATAAATCGGATAATTTCCCAGCCGATTATATTATTTCCATATCTAGATTTTGAATTTCCTAATATTCTCTTACTAATTTAAGATAATAAATTAAAAACATTTATTACTCTCGTTTCACCTTTATTTGATCTTTCTTTAATTTGTTATATTAATAAATATAGAATAAAAATTCATCTTTTTTAATATGTTGTCATTTGAAATTTTCAAAACGGATATATATTACTGAATTGTCTAAGAAAATATTACTATAAACTTATAATTTTATTAAAATAAAGTTTGGATATCTAAATCGGGTTGGTTAAATATTTTGGTTAAATCTAAGCGGGTTGGATAAATATTTTCATGAAATCTTATATTATACTTTAATGATAGAAAAAAGTATAAGACATACCGCATCGGTTAAACATTTTGGACAATGGTTTTAAATCATTATAAACATGACCAGTATGCTTCTAACTATGAATGAGCATGAAGTTTTACTTATCGGGCTTTCAATTTTAAACTTTTTGTTTCAGATTGTTTTAAATACCACTCTTGTAAATTTATCAAAAAGTCACTACAATTTGAAATTTATCAAAAATATATATGTAAGCTTTATATATATAGCCACAAATTATTTTTATATGTGTGTAAATTTAAAAACCTTATAAAAGCTTTATAAATACCATATAAGTACCTTTTTAAAACATTTTAATAACTTCGAATCCCAGTCTAACACAATACTGGCCAGTACTCCATGAAGTCTGACAATCTCCTGCACATACTTCTTGGTTAACACTGCCGCTCCATCAGTCTTCTTGATAGCCAGAAAGTGTGCAGACTTGGTCTAACGATCTACAATGACCCAAATAGCATCCTTGAACTGAGACACCGGCAAACCAACTATGAAATCCATCGTAATTATGTCCCACTTCCACTCTGGAATAGGAAGACTCTGCAGTAGACTACTTGGCACCTAATGCTCAGCTTTCACTAGCTGACACACATCACACTCATACACCCACTTAGCCACGTCTTTCTTCATCCCAACCCAATTGTAGTACCTCTCCAGGTCTCTGTACATCTTGGTCGATCCTGTATGAATAGAGAACATTCTCCCATGAGCCTCACTTATAATCTCACGCCTCAAACCTCATTCTTGGGAACACAAAACCGCCCATGCACAAGAATAGTCCCGTTGGCTGCAACCTGATACTCTGAATCTGTATCCTTAGAAGTACTAACCAGCCCTGCACCATTCTCCTGAGCTGCCCTACCTATTGTCAGAATATCTGCTCGGCTAGCTGCCTCTAACCCAAGTGACTCCTGAGAAGTAGCACACAAACGCAGAGTGCTAATCTCTCCTACCAAAGCCTTCATATCCTGCCCTCTAGCTGAAGCCGCTCGCTTCCTACTCAAGGCATCTGCAACCAAATTAGCCTTACCGAGATGGTAAGCTATCTCCAGGTCATAGTCTGCAACCAACTCCATCCACCGCCTCTGTCTTAAATTCAACTCAGATTGCGTGAATATGTACTTCAGGCTCTTATGATCTCTAAACAGCTGAACCTTCGCCCCATACAGATAGGATCTCCAAATCTTCAGAGCGAATACTACCGCCGCCATCTCCAAGTCTTGAGTAGGGTAGTTGCCCTCATGCTTCCGCAACTGCCGCAAAACATATGCAATCAACTTACCCTACTGCATTAACACACAACCGAAAACAACTCCAGAAGCATCTCTGTACACCACATACGGCTCCCCCTGTTATGTTAGAGCCAAGACCGGCGTACTTGTCAACATCTTCTTAAGCTTAGCAAAACCCTGCTCACACTCAGGAGTCCACACAAAAGGAATATCCTTCGCCGTCAACTTGGTTATCGGTTGAGCTGTGCTTGCAAAACCCTTCATGACCCTTCTGTAGTATCCCGCCAATCCCAGAAAACTCTAGATCTCCGTGGCATTCTGCGATTTAGGCCAATCTCTAATAGCCTCAATCTTCGCTAGCACCACAAAAATTCCCTCTACAGACAATATGACGCATAAAACCCATCTCTCTCCGCCATAAACAACACTTGCTTAGCTTAGCATACAGCTTCTCCAAAACCGCCCTCAAGTGCACCTTGTATTCCTCAGGACTCTTAGAATACACCAAGATATCGTCGATGAAGATGATAATGAACTGATCTAGAAACTCCTGGAACACACTGTTCATCAGCCTCATGAACGTCGCTGGTGCATTTTTCAATCCGAAAGGCATCATCACAAATCATAATGCCCATATCTCGTCTTGAACGCCATCTTACGGATATGCGTTCCTTTACCCGATTTTGGATGCATCTTACTGGACTCTCATCAAAGGATTCTTCTAAGGCCGAAGTTCCTTTACCCGATTCTCGAGAATCCTCACCGGTCTCGCCTCTAAAGTTATGATGGGCTGAAAATCTGCCAGAATCTTAGCCAACACCTCATCATCCTTATGCAGACATTTCTTCAGCATCGACACATGGAACACCTTATGGAACGCCTGCATAACCTTAGGTAACTCCAACCGATACGCCACCGGTCCAACCCGCACCAAAATCCTGAAAGGACCCATATACCTAGGACTCAACTTAGTCTAAGTAAGGGACCTGTTAGGACCACGTAATATCGCCATTTTGAGATACACCATATCTCCAACCTCAAACGCTAACTCCTTACGCCGCTTATCAACATAACTCTTCTGTTGATCTTGAGCCTCCTTCATGTTCAACTTAAGAACCCGAATCTTCTCCAAAGTCTCCTGAACAAAGTATGCACCATATATGCTCCTCTCCCGCACTTTGGTCCATTATAGAGGTGTCCAACATGGCCTTCCATACAACGCCTCAGAAGGAGCCATCCCAATAATCGCCTGGTAGCTATTATTGTAGGCAAAATCCACCAAGCTCAAGTGATCGTCCCACTGACCACCCCAATCCAACACACATATCGTCAAAATATCCTCAAGCGTCTGGATGGTCCGCACTGGATGCCCGTATGTTTGAGGATGGTAAGCCGTACTTAGATGCACATTTGTACCCATCTCCTTTAGGAAAGCCAAGAATCACATCATACAGCTCCACTGGACTAATGTACAGATCTGCCGGCATTGACTCCCCCGCAATCTGCACATCCACACCACTAACCCGTTCCTGAAGCTCTAGCAACGCGCATCCTATGACTCTTAACGGCTCCGAAATAACCACCAGGATCTCCTCGGATGTTACCAACCGCCGCGCACTCCGGTTTAATGAAGCTATTCGTAGCTCTAGAATGAAACATTTGCTGATATGATCATGGATAGCACTAAGGAATTGGAGCATGAACCGAAGCTTAAACTTGAAGAAGCTAAGCTCATAGCTAAGGAGAAGCAGCTCGGAGAGGAGGATAAGCTTGTAGCCGAGGATGCTCTTGTCACACCAACTGGTCCAATGACTCGCTCAAGAGCTAAAATGTATAACGAAGCTGTTGGAGGATTAATTAATCAGATTCGGAGCCAACACGATCAAGACATCAAGTATGTAGGAAAATCTTGTCAAACCACTTTGGTTTTGATCCAAGCTAAGTGATTCAACAATGGGAAAAGTGTCATGGTTGTACTCTTTTTCCCTTGTCAAGTTTTGTCCCACTGGGTTTTCCTGAAAAGGTTTTTAATGAGGCAACTGTTTCACTTCACCATTGCCCATTTGTTGAATCAAAAGCCCAAGGCCTTTTATGCATTTAAGGAGCCATGACCAAGAAGAGGAAGAGGGTCAATCTATCTTTTAAATTTCAAGTTTTGAATTTATTGCTTTGTATTTTCGAGAACAGCCTTGTAACTTGTTCCAAGGCTTATTCTTTCTCTTCTTTATAAACTCCCTTGTAATCTATTTGAAACTCAACCTTCCTTTTTATCAAAAACCTTTTCTCTAAAGAGATCTTTTAGTTGGTGTGTATATCCAGCTTTTCTCTTGTTCGTGTGTATATCCAGCAAAAACCTTAGCCTCTTTGGTGCGTATATCCAAAGGATCTAAGTTCGGTATCGTGATGCTATTCCGCAAGCTTCTTGTGATATCCATCGACCATTCAACTTCTATTCCGTACCACGGCTTTCTAGCCAAATCTATCCTTGCTCAACTTAAAAGTGTCGAATCCTAGGGATATTCTCATCATTTGCTAACCCACTATAGTAACGAATTTGGTGGAAAGGAAATCAAGGACCAATAAATGAGTATTAGGTCGTTGAGTCCCTTTCAGTCCCAACCTATTAAAGTAAGTAGTTTATCTAAGGTTCATACCCTGAAAAGTGTGACCAGACAACATTTGGTTATTAGTTCATGGAGTTTAATATTTCTGGAAATCTAAACAAAAATCAGGTATTACTCAATCATCAATTTTAAAACAATTATGAAAGTCATTTGTTTTTTTTCTATATATATAAATACTAGTTAAAATTATATATTATTCGTTTAGTAATATGTTTTAGATTCTACAGTATGTTTTAAATGAATTTTAAAATGAACTTCCCTGCCTGCTTCTTGTAGACTGAACTTTTTTTTTTCTTTTCTTTCAATCAAAAGTCTTTCTTTTTTGTCTTTTGATCAAAATAGAAGGAAATTTTTGTCTTTTATCTTAACTGTATAAAAATAAATTTTGATCGAAAAACTTTTATATTAGGTTTCAACCAATTTACTGGACTAAAATCTGCTGTGCCCTTTGACCACAATCTATATACTCTCTTACCCTTTTATGTTCGAAGTACCCCTTGACTTATATTGACTAAATAAAGAACATATTTTGCCCCTCTTATTGATTAATTTAATTTAAATAAAAAAGGAAAAAGATGGACGCGGACCCCACTCCACCACCATCTTCTCTCTTCTTCAACCACGATCCCTCTCCACCATCGGACCCAATCCTCCATCGACGAGCTCCTTCTCCGTTTAACTCCATCGTCTCTCTCATCAACACGAGAAGCAACTCAACAACTGAGGTAATACACTTATTCGTATTCATTGTTAAATTCAAAACTCGTTGGCATGAAGTAGAGTTGTTGTGGATTGTATTTGTTCCCTATTGAACTATTAACATTGTAGATTTGGATTTGATCCGATTTTTCTTATCCTCATTGTCAATTAGGGATATGAGTCGAATTGGGTCGACTATTTTTCATAATGTGTGCATTGTAACAGTTCAATCGAATTGAATCGTAGGAATGTATTCGAAAATCAGTAGTATGCGTTGTAGTACAACTGGTAGAACTTGGTATAACTATTTGGGCACAACTTGGTACAACTATAATAATAAAACTTGTAGTACAAATGGTACTCTTTGTTATAACTTGGTATAACTATGAACACGACAAAGATTATAATGTTAGTTATCCTATTCTATTTCAAGCCACAATGAATAAAAACCATCGAAAAATCATAATATATGATTATGGGGGATATTATGCAACAAGAGAAAATGAACCAAGATGAAATTTAAGAGATAAAGTTCATCCATCTCTTAGAATGGAGACAGATTATGCAGTGGAGAACATGGACACAGGAAGAAGAAATCTACCATCGCAAGGTGGTTTGAGAGTCAGGGTTCCCGAAGTTGATTGATTGTATTTTGATGTAATATCCTATTTGAACAATTAGGTACACCTTGTTTTTGTTATGGTACAACTTGAATAATTTGAATTTGATTTTTGGACTTTCTTACGTCAACTTGTTTTAATGATATTTAAATTGATATATATTTTTAAATAAAAATCTATATTCTTATATTTAAAAAATATTTAAATAATCAAAAATAAGGATTTATTTTAATTAATCAAATAATCAGGATTTATTTGAATTTTTAATAAACATGAATTGGAATTAAATATAGAAAACTTAATAAATATAAAAATGAACTGAATTATAATTTCATCATGTTATCCAATATATATATAAAATAAGGAATCATGATTTTATTATTATATTTCACTATAGATATCATCATATTCTAAGTTTATCAAGAAATACCTTACACATTAAGGGTCACTTTCTCATTGCAAACAACATATAATTAGAAAAGGTAAGAAACAAATGTTTTCAAAAATATTTATGCATGTACATGTGGTATATGTACCTCAATTAATTAAAATCATGTGTACAACTAAAAATATTTCTTTTAAACATTGTATAACTAATTATAACAAAAAAAATAAAAAAGTACAACTTGCCAAAACGAGTACAACTTGTAACTTTGGTACAACTAGTGCATTTTGGCGGCTACACATGTGTCTTTTGGCGGATACACGTGTCTAATGTGGATCACGTGTTTGTTGTTTGGTCCTTTTATTTTTTATTTTTATTTTTCCTACACTTAAGAATTTTTAAAAAATTCAATTCCAAATTGAAATTGAAAGAGGGAATCGGGAATCGGGTATAGCTACGATTTACTGTCCTTTTACTCTCTTTACTTCTTCTCCTTCTTTCTTTCTGGGTTGGTGCGATTTCGTCTTTTATTTTGGGTTTGCTATTTATGAGAATGAGCTGCGAATCTGGAGCATCGGGAATCTTATGTGGGATTTCTGTGGTTCTCTTCTTGTGATAGGGCTGGGAATATCGTACAATAAAGTGTAACTTGTTCTTCGTAGTACAACTAAGTATAACTTGTTCTTCGTAATGGTACAACTAAGTATAACTTGTTCTTCGTAATTGTACAACTATGTATAACTTTTTCTTATCGTACGATATGATTGTAATTTTCCCTATCGGCTTAACTTTGTTGGCAATTTGAAGTTAATTCGTGTATTTAGATTGTATTGTATTGTTGTAAATCTTGTATTTTGTAATAGTACAACTCGTATCTAGTTATACCAAGTTGATCTTTTCAATGCAGTTGTACCTAGTTTACCTATAAATGCACTCAGAAACTTAACAAACAACATTAAGCTAAACCAGAATAGTTCAAAGACACACCAATCCAAAAAAAAACACAACAAACCACAAACATATCTAAAGAGTTCACATATAATATGATTCAAAAACACAACATAAAATAAATCAATTTCTTAGTGAAAATAAACTAGCTATGCCGAGTTCGCACAAGTTGTACTATTCTATCCAAGTTGTACATATCGTTGAACCCCAGAATTTGATTTCGGATTTGAATCTGTTTCATCATAATCATTTCCACGAGTCCCATTTTCTTCTACGATTGCATCTGTTGCCTTTTTGATTTCACCTACTAGATCTGAATCTTTGTTAAAGCTTGTGTTCTTTGTACGCACCATTCTCTTATCCTTCACACAAAATAAATAACCGCAAATTAACAACATACTTGAGTAATAAAAAAAATCAACAACCCCAAATTAGATTAACAAATCGAAAACACCTAAATCGACAACATCCAAGCGGATCTAACATAAAATACCCAAAGAATCATTGATTTTGACTTACCCAGAATCAAGTTGTCCTTAGTTGTACTCGACGAACTGCTTGTGATTTTTGGATTTTTCAAACACTTAGGATTTGAGAGTTTTATAATTTTTCAATCGATGAGGAAGACAAAAGGGTGAAAGATCCGATGGATATCCAAAAGTGAAATGGGTTTTCGGATTTTATGTGGTTGGATCTGTAATTTTTAGGTTTTAGTAAGGGTGGGTAGGTATTTACACCCATTTTCGATTTTTTGAAGTAAATTAATTATTTTTTCCTTTGGTCAAACCCTTATTAGAATAAGGATATAGGTCAAAGGGCATCAAAGACTTTGGTCCCAATTTACTCAAGTTTCGTCTTATCCTAACTTAGTTCGGTTTGGAGTCCGTAGAAGTGGCTCAATAAATTGGGCTCAATATTCTTTTTGTACTACATTTTCATGGGCCAATAAATGTTAAAAATCAAATGCTCAAGGCCCAATTATTAAAGTATATAATCTGCCGTTCCATTCACATATTGAAACCCTACTTCTCTTAAGATTCTCCGCCGCTAGTACAAAAATTTAGAGTTCTCAGAAAAATTGGAATCTGAGTTTCAAAACCGCTCATCACATTTTGAAACCTTTGAACGCATGTGGTTTGATATAGGTAAGTGATTTTCTCTTCTTTATAGCATTGTGATTTCGAGCCTTTGTAATGAAGTTCGTAGAAGATTATATAACTCTTTTGGTTCTCAAGGATATTGGTGGTGATTAGGCGAGCCCGCTTTCTTCACTCCGGAAATGAGAGAGAAAGTGAGAAACAAATCGTAAAGAGTTCTCTTTTTGCGAGGTCTCTACTATGTAAATCAGTAAGATTGTTTCTCATTTTTCTATATGGATATAACTTTACTTTTCCATTTTTATGTTTTATAAGCAATCCACTTTAGATCTTTATTTTTCATTAGGCTATAAAGTTTATGCTAAATATACTACAATATAGGGATCCACCCATATCAAATACTCTTGAATTTTTGAGTACTTAGATCTAGATCTGTTATATTCATGACAAAAATTATATGGATATGGATATACCTATATTCACTGCTATCCACACCTGACCCGGATCCATAAAAAATGTTAATATTATTAAAATATTAATTATAAATTATGTTGAATTTGTATAAATAAAAACAGAAAGAGTAATATAGGCCATATGATATTTTCAAAATATCATAAAACATTAAAATATTAATCTTATACATGTATCATAATAAATTATATGTAAAAAGTGAATCCAAGTTAGAATGAGGTATTATAACCTTTAAATATATATACTCTTATCCAATGTTTTAGATACCCTATTTTCTGATAAGACTATATGTAGATTTTCAGATATTTTGTCGAGTCTTACTACGTTGTAGTAATTGTGGCGATAAATCTACCATTCTTGTAATTTACTTAAATAATTTGTTGGAATGTTCCTAGAAAACTATTCAAAACAACTTGTGAAAATAAGTTCAAATAATCAAAGACAGAAAAACAATTACAAACAATATTTTGAGTTGTTGGTTATAGAAAATTCTTTGTTCAGAGTATTTTTGCACAAAACAAAGACCAAAAGAAAATAAAACATCTATGTAAACTATTAATTTCTATATGAAATATTAAATATTGTATTTTGATATTAAGCATAATAAAATATATTAAGCACATTTAAAATTTGTAAACCTTCAAAATCATGGAATTATGAACATGTGAAACAGATTATTAACATATTGATTCTTTTCATGGTAGAATAACCCTATTTTGTATTGCTAGGTATGTTTTCTCTCCTATATTTGTAAATATATTTAATCAGTCAAATGAGTTTTCTCAATATATTATTTTTTAT